ATATATATATATATATATATATATATATATATATATATATAAGGAATGGCGGGATTTTGTGAATTTTTTTCTTCGGAATATCGCTGAATTTTTTTTAAAACAAAAAATCACTGCCAAGTAGTAATTTTGGTGGAATTTTTTTAAAAAAAATAAGTTACTGCCAATTATTATTTTTAAAAATATTCGCCAACATTTAATACGATTTTAAGAAATAAAATGGTAGCAATATTTAAAAAAAAATAGTTGTCTAGCTGCGAAGGCACCAAATTTTTAAAAAAGAAGAAAAAAGGTTTTATAGAAATCGCTAGCCTAACAGCGATTTCTCAAAAAAAAAAAGATTTCCTCTAAAAATTGGTGCCTAGGTAGAGATTTAAAAAAAAAAAATTAAAGGAAAACTCTGCATGGGCAGCGATTTAAAATTTTTTTTTTATGTAAACGCTGCATGGGCAGCAACATTCTTGTAAAAGTTCGGAGAAAATCGTTGGTAGGTCAGTGATTTTGCCCTTTTGATTAAAAAAGAAATTGAGGGAATTTTTGAAATTAATTTAGCCCTTTAGGCTTCGGATTCAACTATAGCTCGACAAAATTTACTTAACTAACTAAACTTTTTCTTTGTGCAACATGAATGAAATACGCCCTTACATTCTTTTTAAATTTTAGAGGTATTTTCAAACGTCTTTAATTTTTTTTTATTTAAGAGTCTCAATATGCTGCTACAAATATTTGAAACTATTTGCTATGCGATGCAGTAGATCGGTGTGTATCTAAATTTAGTTAGTCATATAAATAAGTGTTTTTAACGTTATTAATAGTTTAGAACTAAAACTAATGATTTATTAAATTTAAAAATTACGATAGGTAATTCAAACGAATAGAATGCATTTTCTTACAAATTCAAGAGAAAAAAACATAGTAATTAAAAGAAAAAAGAATTTACCTCTTTTGAGTTTTCAGAAATATTGGAGAGCAATTTTCTATAGCCCTCCCTATTTTTCTTAACCCGTTTGCCTTTTGAATCTCTCTTCCTGTGATGCAATTTATTTTTAATTATTTACTAATCATCATAGCAAAACACAAGAAAATAACTAACACACCATTTAGTTATTAGTATGAAAATATTATACATATATAAATAACACAGAAAGTAAAATTGCTATTTTCCTAGTTATAATATGAGTATTTCAAATAGAAATATATTATAATTATGCATTCCATTATTGCAGGGACCATAATTTATATAATAAGATTACTTAAAAGACTCAATTATCTTTTGTCGAATGTCGAGAAGAATTAAATTCCTGATTTTAACCAAAAAAAATAAGGGACCACAAAGAGACACCACCCAAAAATAAAGGAAAAAAGATAAAATAAATAACTTAATATTATATATTTATATTAAATATATAATAATGTCTTTTTGTGCTCGTGATTTAATAATTACTCCTTTTGTTTATTTTATGTGATACTTTTCAGATTTCGAGCTTCAAACAAGTCTAACTTTGATCGTAAATTTTCATAGATCTTTAAAATATTTTGAAAAAATTATAAATTATTGTGATTTATAATACTTTTTACATAGTTTTACAAATATATAAATTTCATTTCAAAAAAATTGAAGACCATGCACAAATTCTCAATCAAACTTAAATTGTTTGACTCTCGAAAAACGTAAAATGTCATATAAATGGAGATAAAGAATATCATCTTGTATGGCATGGGATTATGTCAATAAGACTATGATTATACTATTAACCCTTGTGACTATATTATTAATTTCGTGACATCTAATGTGTAATGATCTAACTTGCCTTGGTCCTAAAGTCTCTTTTTTGATGATTATTGTCTAAAAGGATAATTAATATACCTACTATATATAGAACAATGATGGAGCATATAATCATTTTAATGATCACATATGTGTAATTAATAATTATAGCATTTTGGAAAAGGTAGTAATTTATAATTATGTAAATATAAAAGTTCACAAAGAAAAATTAAGGTGAAGATAAAAGTTCAAATTTTATATATTTTTGAATCTCTAAAAGCTATTGATAAAATCGATCAATAGCTTAAAAAAAAGATTTTTATATTAACATGTTAGAAACTTAGATTAAAGATGTTTATGATAAAAGTCTTAATTGTCAATATTATTTCAAAATACGAAATTTCATTTAACTAGCACATGTAAAATCGAAGATACCTTGTGATATCAATGGATTGGGCCGGCCCATCTTCTTCCACTTTGAAAACAGGCAATTCGGAGAGCCCACATGCTAATGGGCTTGTTGTAAAGAACTAACACAATGTTCAACAAATTAAATTTTAGTGTTCAATAATATGGGTGCACATAATTATTTTCCTAGTCTTTTTTCAAATCACAAAATTTCTTAAAATTTATGGATTTTGGATACTTTCGAATACATAAGTGAGGGATGTATCAGAGAGATAGAATATTTGGATATATCACTGGACTTCTAGATATATAAGTGATACATAAGTGAGAGATGTATTAGAGAGGATAGGATATCCGAATACATAAGCAGACATCCGGTTACATACGTAAGAGGATGTATAAGCAAGGTGAGGGACATATCCGAGAGGGAAACAGAGATGTATCATCCAGAGGAGAGTGATATACCCGAGAAGAAATTCTTAAAATTCTTATAAATGATAAATCTTTTTAGAGATTATAATAAAATAAAATATGTATTTTGATAATTATTGTAACTTACTTCATTTTGAAGGGCAGTAGAAGCAGTGCCACGCAAGTGAGGCTCAACAGACAAAAGTGTGTATAAGAGGGGAAAAGCAGAATGAGGCAAATTGGGGAAAAATTGTCCAAAACATGGCTTGTGTTGCGGTGGTCTAAATGTTGTCGGTGGCTTCACTTTCTTCCAATATTCTTCTGTTGGTGAACCACATAACTTAAATATCTTGTGAAGTTGTTCAATCTGTATAATTTAATAAAAAAAAAGTTTTAATAATTCACTAATGAAAACGATATTAATAAAAAATATATATATTTTTTTACCTCATTTCTACCAGGCAAAATAGGTCTTCCAATAAACATTTCAGCCAAAAGACAACCAACACTCCAAAGATCAATTCCAACACTATAATTAGTGGAACCCAAAAGTAATTCTGGTGCTCTGTACCAAAGTGTGACAACTCTACTTGTTAGGGGCCTCTTTGTCTTTGTTTCATAGAAATTTGCAAGTCCAAAATCACCTATTTTTAGTATCCCATTTTTGTCTATTAGCAAATTGGACCCCTTAATATCTCTATGCAATATTCCTCTTTCATGACAATGTTCAAGTCCACATAACAATTGCTCCATGTAACATTTTATCTGCAACAAAATCTTATTTATATATTTGATCGTGTAAATAATATTTACATTATTACGAATCGTTTTTTATTGTCAGGTTTGAGTTATTCATATATTGAAATAGATATAGCTATATCATGTTTATTGATAATGTTTTTATGCGATGTTTGATTATCTTACAATCTCATCTAACAAAATTAGCCTTTACAAGTTATGAGTCAGTTTTTATTAACTATTATTTAAAACGAAATACAATAGCGATAAAGTCAATATTATTTTATCACTTAATAGTAAAATGCACTATATGGTCAATGAACTCACATTTCTACAATGATAAGATAAGATGTATTTCTACCACTGGACTATTTGTATGTTGGGTTTTAGCAAAATGTGAATGGAAAAAGAGAAGAGAAAAATGAAAAAGTGAGGGAGCTAATTTTGAAGGAAAAATAAAAAGTCGTTTGCAAAGTGCAAATAAAAAGTCATTTCTTTCATATTGGTAGAAGAAAGCAAATTGTTGTCCTAATATTAGGAAACACTTCCTTTGCTTCTTAAAGGGTTAAAGAAAAAGGTGTCCCCTTGCGCAGTCGTCGCTCGGCCTTGGACTTGATTGGTAATCTTTTTGGACAAAATTTATTTAATCAATTTTGTTAATCGATTGTTTTCTCTTATAAATTAATTCAGAATGTTAAATAACATAATTAATTTTGGCGCAGCGAAATTTATTTGAAATTCACGCGCAACGATAATATCAATTGATTTCTGAAAAGTCATTATTTTTTTCCCAAAAGATACATATTTCCGAAAAGTCGTTATTTTTTCCAAAAGACACAACTTTCTGGAAAAAGCGAGTCTGAACAAACACGTTTCTTGATGAAAATGGCTATAAATAGGAAGTCTTTTTCATTTTTCAAACACTGAATTTTTTTTCTATCTGCATACATTTTCTCTCATAAGCAAATTGTTCATCGATTGAGTTTGTGTGTGCTTGTTAATGTTCTTACGTTCGCTGAAGTTTGAGGTACCGCTACTTCTCTAACATGTTTATCGGTTTCATCTTGGGAGAAATTAATCTACAACTTCGGGTACAGTGAGGGAATTAAATTTCTTAAGAAAACACAGTAATTTCTGTGGACTCGAATTAAAAGTTTTCTTTCTATTTCATCTTATTTCTATTTTTGTATTTTTGACTAACCTTAATACAGATAACAACTTATTGATTTAAGGCTATGCTTATTTATATACTCTTTAATTCAATTTTATTTTTGTGAGAAAATCCTACCTTTAGAGGTTGGAGATTGATTTACATTTTTCAATTTTTGGCACAAGAAATTTTTTAAAACCCAACCGATAAGATTGGTTTTTGATAGTTTCTTAGTTGTGATAACTATACTCTATGAAGTAAGATCTCATGTCCTTAACCAGAATCTCAGGTTCTAAATTATACAAGAAAAACATTAAACAATTAGGCACTCAATATTATTGATTATGACATATATAATTCCTCTAAATTGTGCAATTAGACCTATTTTATATATACAAAAATTACTATAAAATGAGGAAAATAAGTAATTTTACTTACCTGAGGTTGAGTGAGTCTAATTCCTTGAGTGTGATTAATAAGTTTAGTTAAATCAGATGGCATAAAGTCAAATACCAAATAAAGACTATAATGCATTCTTGAAGTAGCTAATCCTTCAAGTTTTATAATATTTGGATGATCAAGTTTCTTCAATATTATAATCTCTCTTGCCATAAATTTCACACTCTCTGGTTCACTTGTATCAAATCTAACCTTCTTTAAGGCTACTAGTTTCCCACTTTTCCTATCTCTAGCTTTATACACATTGCTATATGTCCCTTGCCCTACCTGCAAAAAAATAAATAAAATGTATTAATTAAGGTAAATTACCAATTATTTTTTGCGGAGTTGATTTCCCATAGAGTTACTTAATGAATTTACAGTTGTGGTTTCAGAAAGTCACTTTCTTTGTTAAAGGGAATTGAAATTATCAACGACTATGATGACTATAGGTAAATCAAAAATATGACCATATGAGAAATCAACCCTAATTCTCTATGTAGTGAGCGATAGTTTATTTTGAGTTTAATTGAATCCAAATAATGTTTTATGTACTGAGTCTAGATACTTACATGAAACTTATAATTAAAATTTCAACAAATGTTAAATATTAAACTCATAATGTCAAAAGTGATAATGAAGGAGAGTCTTGAAGTAACGATACTAAAGTTGTTTATGTATGATCATATATAGCTCACATGTTCGAATTGTAGAATCAACTAGCACTGATATTTGTGTCAGGGTATAGATTGTTTACGTCATAATCCCTTAGGGTGACACGACCCTTTCTCAGATGTCCCCTAATGTGAACACGAGATGCTTTTTGTACTAGGTTATTCATTTAATGCCCAAGTGCATGAAATATTATATAAAGAAATGAAAATTTTAAATTTTAAATCCGAATGGAAATGAACTTACCTTATCTAGCTTTTCATATGAATCAGCAGTCTTTGGAACTAAACCAACCAAAACCTCTTTAGGAACATTATCAACAAGCCACTTAGGCCATCCATCTACCAATTGATCATCTCCTCCTATTTTCCTACCATTATCACTTATTATAACTCTTTGTAATTGATCAATTATTCCTATTTTAACTCCATTATTTCCATTTCTTTTCTCTTCGTGATCAAGTAGTACATGATTCCCTTCTTGATCGCGAATTCGAGACATATCCCTCATTTGTTGTTGTTCTCTTTGTCGTTGTTGTTTTTCAACTCTATTTCCTTTAACATAACTATTCTCATTTTTCATCCTCTCAAGTCTCTCCGGAGTGAAACTATAACCCTTGCCTACTACACAACCCATTATGTCCTTACACGAAGCGAATCTCACAAAATTATGTGGAATGATATGAGCGGTGATAATAACTATAAATGGCAAAAAAATGCTAGAGAAGTTTGAATTCTCTTTGTACATTTGGCCGGCAAATATATATTCATGTAATATTTGTAAAAGAAAAGTGTCATTTTCTTTTATTTCTTTGCTTTTATCGTTATGTAAAATAATATGGCAAAATAAAATAAAATCATGAATTATGTCCATGATTAGTAACCAAATTCTTTCTGTTTTATCAAGGAATTTCTCTTGTTTATGGAGATACATTTTTTGTTTAATTTGTAATAAAATAACAAAGTTTTGGCTAGTAGAACCTAGTCAAATTATATTATGGTATTATTATATACAATCTACTCTTAAGTATAAGCCAAATGGCAAAAATATTGAAGCAATCAAAAGAAATTGTGAATTCAATCCTTTTAATTTGTCGTAAACTTTGATTTTTAAACTCAACAATTAGAGGAATAAGGTCTAGTGCCCTCGAGGCTTACGTATCTACATGCACACTCTAGAAGAGGAACATTTATAGTTTACTTACGCCCAACAATGTATCTATATTTAGCGGTGGAATCAGAATTTTCGTTAAAAATGTTCATACTTTAATATATATATATATATATATATATATATATATATATATATATAAAGATTGATTACGAAATACTCATACCTTAACTGATTTTTACATAGTGCTCCAAGTTGTTCATGCTCTTTATTTGTTCAATATCAAATTAACTAATTACTATGCTAAATGAAATTCTTAAAACAAAAAATTACAAAATATCTATGGATAAACTAAAAAAAATAAAGTATGACAAAAATATTGACGGATAGTTTCATATTCATCAAATATGTAAAGTGATAACTGTAATTGGTAACTACAATTGCACTCGAGACTTCTATCTCTTGAAATGTTTTCATAATACACTCCTTATAAGCCTCTTTAAATACTTTTTTTTCTCTATATAAGGGCACCATGCAGCTATATGAGAATTTATCATCTATTTGATTTCGCAAATCATTCTTTATAATTTTCATTGTCGAAAAAGTTGTTTCAACTGTAGCAACAGCCGTAGCAACAGGTAGAAGCAAAGAACAAACGTAACCCAAAAAGAAATTGAAAAAATACCTAAAATGCCTAATCCTGGATTCGAACTTAGCAACGCGAGATCGCACACCGCTAGGTCATTTTTCTTCATTATATCAACAATTAATATATATACAAAAGTATCAATATTAATATATATATATATACTCGCAAATGAATAGCTCCTTGTCTATTTTTGTATTATATTCATCATCCAGCAATATGGACAACTATTCTAGACATTTTTTTTCTTGCATTGTTCGCTTTTTATGTAAAATTATCTCTTCAGTCTAATTCGTATCCTAAAAAATGAAAAGAAAGAAGGTTGGGTAAGTCCTACCACTATTCTTATTAACACTCTTTTATTTTTGAGGAATTTCAAAATTATTTAAAAAATTAATTACATCGTATTAGTTATTCCATTTCTTTTAATTTATTTATCTTATTTTTTTTGTTCTGTTTCAACTGAAGGTTTATTTTTCCTTTTTAACAACTTTTATAATTTTAAAACTTTTGACATGACATATTTAAGAGTATAAAATTTAAAAATATTTTAATAAATTTGACATATTTTTAATTTAAAATCATAAGATTAAAAGATCTTGTATCTTCTTTAGAACTTTATAATAAGTAAAAATAAAAACAAATAAATTGAAAGAATGGGAGTAGGACTTTTCTTTGGGCCAGCAGTTAGGATGAGGCTTATATCCTCCTAACCTTAGGCATATTACAGCTTAGAAACATTAATCAAGAATTATCGGTTAAATACAACCAATTCGGTATATAATTAATTTATATATGCAAAACAAATACCTATAATAGATATTGTAATTTGATTCTTTTCAAGATCTCATACATAATGAGAGTTTAATGCATAAAGATGCTTTTTTTATATGTCATAAATATTTATGATTCAGTTTTTTTAAAATTCTGTACAGCTAAACCAAGATACTCTTTTTTTATATGTCATAAATATTTATGATTCGGTTTTTTTAAGATTCTGTACAGCTAAACCAAGATACTCTTTTTTTATATATAATAGATATTTATGATTTAATTTTTTTTGAAATTCCGTATATAACCAAAGTTTAAGGCACCGATGCTTTTTTCATTTTACCGAGAAAAAAGTTACTGTCAAAGCCTCTAATGATTAGAACTTATAGAAAATTTTTTGCCCGGTCAATAGAGTATATATTGTCACTAATCATTAAACCATATGCATAAAATGCTTCTCCCTTTCATTTTAATGTGATGTTTTGTTTTAATTTGACATAAAATTTAAAAAATTAAAGAAAATAATTGAATTTTTTGGCATTAAGTAAAAGATATATCTAATGTACCAACATAGCAACATGTTCTTTTATCATGTATCTTTCTACCCTGCCTTTCTTTTCTTAAAAAATGGCGAATTACACCGAATTTTGCCTTCAACCAAGCCTTTCCGTTTCGAAATCGAGAGAGACCATTTTTATGAGAGAGGGACGAGCAAGTGACAGATTGGAAAAAAAAACAGGTAGGCCTTCTGAGCGGTCATTTAGGGGCCTTGTAAAAAAGAGAGTAGAACGAACAAGTTGAACCAAATGAAATCATCCTTTTCATATTCACATTCCAAGTGGATGGATTGGAAGAAATAATTTATGTTTGCGTTCTTTCTTGAACAATGAAATTAATTTCAAAAATCTCATAATTTTGCAATTTTACTCATGTTTTACTTTTTAAAATAAGTTAACTATATTATTTTATGACATTATGACACAATTTATTTAGGATTCGCAAATATTTATTATTAAAAAGAATATGGAGATGTGTGATTTACTAATGTATGGCCAGATTTCAATATCTTGTTTAGGAACTATAACACATGAAACTTTTATGTTCATTAAAAAAAAATTCTTTCTCCGTTCAATATTATATGTCATGGTTTTTATTTTTAGAGTAAAATTATAAAAATTGACTAATAATTTGAGATGTATTTTTTGATCATATTAATATGCAAAAAATTATAATTTGTAGTACTTTTTATATAGTTTTAAAATATCTAAATTTTTTGATTTTAAAATATCAAATTGATGTAATCTAATTTTGCATTGAAAATTAATCAAATTGACTTTCGATAAACACAATATGACAAACAATTTCAGACGGAAGGAGCATAGCTTAAAAGACTTCCAAATTGCATGTTCAAACAAATTTCTCTTAATACCATAAGAAAATACTACAAAATCCTTTGCCTTGAGATGGTGAAGAAAATGAAAAGCATAAATTAAGGCTATATTACACACAACAATACAAATGTATGTAATCACAAGATAATTTTAGAACTTTTTATGAACAATTCAGAGCATCATTTTTACTTTCAACTGATCAAGAATTTGATCCTCGAGCTGAGGAGAATTTTCTTCTGTTTATGGTATTCAATTCAAGACTCTACAGTTTGTTATTTAACGAACTCACTGAGGCTAACATTGTCCCCACCGCTAACGGGTCTCAAAATGGGCTGTCCGAGATCAAATGGTCCCAAAGAGTCTTCCTGCAAAGCAAGCATAGGAATGGACCATGTTAAGTTATACTGTGGACAGGAAGAAAAAATTCAGATGGAACAAGCAAAGTGAAAAGGAAGAAAGTACCCATTTGATGTTGCCCTTCAGCCCAAGGCTGCTGTCTTCATTGAGAACAACCCATGAACGAGAAAAGAGTGTTGTCTTTGGTTGCTGAGATGATTGATCCTGCATAATCAGACTTTGAGTTGTGCAAAAGAATTTGTAAATCCTTCCATGAGAATATCACAAAGTCGTGTAATAGTGATGCACAGCAAACAAGTTCAGGAAGCTCCACACTTAAAGACTTGATCCTTAATTGGAAGCAGTATTATCAAAAGCCAAAACTAATGTCAGTAAAAAATAAGCTATTTGAAACTAAAACCAGAAAAGATTACAGCAAACAAACCTCAGCAGCATTAGAGGATGATGGAATCCTGAAAGATCTTGAATTGTCAGGACCAGCTGTTCCACACAAACTTATGGCGTTTCCATTTCCTGATGAAGCTTTACGCACTGGAAATGCATGGCATGTCTCTTCAGCATCCAAGATAGACGAGTGCGATTCATGAGGTAATGACTTGGAAATTTCACGTTGTGAATTCATGCATGCAGCAACAAACGCATCCTGCGAGCTTGGTTTGTCCTCATTTCTTTGGTCATGTTTTTTTACTTTCTCCAGCAGGGATACCTCAGACAGAAATCCTCCAATGCTCAAGTTAGTGAAATTAAAATCCCAGGAAAATTTTGAGTCAATGTGGTGACCACACTCTGAAGTTTCTTTCCATCCAGATGTTTTTTTCGAAGCTAAATTGAAATCACTAATCTTTCCCTGAGAAGATGCTTCAGAAAGGAAGTTTCCTGTGCTAAAATAAGAACTAAATGGCGGTGGCTCCAAATCCACTCTGTTTTCTTGCTTCATTTCAGTAGACAACTTACCCTGCAAAGACGCTTCAGCCAGCAAAGCTCCAGTACTAATATCAGAAACCAACTGGATTGGCTGCAAATCCAATTTATTTTCTGAGTTGCTGGTCTTTCCTGGCATAGATGCCTCAGAAAACAATCCTCCAATGCTTAGGTTGGTCAAAATATCATTCCACGGATTCTCCATCTTTGAAAGGACATTCTGCTTTGTTACTTCATCAACCTGGAAAGGAGTATCAAATACTGAATTTTAAGATGTCTATAGCATTTTCCACTAGTAAAAAAGTACATCTACGTCCTTTGAGAGGAATTACCTCTACGGACTAAAATTTTAGTTAGACCAGTCCTAGAACACATCAAATATAATCACAGAGGTAGGGTAGTGGTTAACAAATGATCTTAGCCCCTCATATGTGGTAAGGGAACCACACCATCCAGCTTTTGTGGCAATAAGTTTGAAAGGTAATTTCAACAATTATTTATTCATATCTTATCCTATAAAGAATGTTAATTTTGATTATGCACACATCTCGAGCATTGAGTACTCCCCATATTGTCACTACAGCAGTTTGCTTGACCTACCACAGCCTACAGGTTAAGTAAACATGTTGTATCCTAGAGGTTGGTTCTGTTGTCAGCTTATGGTTCACGCAGATTGCAGGACAAGCCTACCAATTTCAGATTCAGACGATCCAAAACACTACTCCCTCCATCCACGTTTATTTGTCATGTGGCGCTTTTCGAAAGTTTTGACTAATTTTCAAAGTTAAATTAGATTACATTAATTCGATATTTTTTAAAAAAAATTGATATTCAAAAACTATATAATAAGTAGTATAAATTGCAATTTTTTGCATATCAATATGATGAAAAAATATATCTTAAAATGTTAGTCGAAGTTCATCATATAGTTTGACTCTAAAAATAAACCATGACAAACAGTAGTGGACGGAGGGAGTAGTAGAGTATTTTCAGGAACAAACTCTCTAACTGAGTGGATTAGGTATCCCCAGGAAAAAGGTATCACAATCCACTTTGATATGCCTACTTATCAAACAAAAAAGAGGTCCACCTTGTTAAGCATCAATGCAGGGGTAGAGGAGAAAAGGTATATCTTTTATTGTGTCTGCGAATAATTTTGAAGAATGGATTTTAAACTATAAAATAATAATTTAAGAAGTTAATGTTAGATTTAAGTTTTAATATTGACAATGAAAAGGTTAAATGAATTGAGCAACTACTGATCTTCTGGGACAATCATGAGAAGTTCTTAATAATGATGTTGTAAGGGGTCAGTCAACGAGAACCAGAAGGAAGAAAAATCAGCCAAAGATGTGTGGAAAATACGAACCGAGACAATGAAGGAAGAAGTCAAAAGAAATCAGAGGAGATAAAAAGAGCAGGCCAAAATGAGATGAACAATTTGTGCCCAACCTCTATATCATGATAGAAGACGTTACACGCAGAAGAAACAAGGCCAGATCAAATAAAGAGAGGCCCAAGAGTTCAAAAGAAATAAAAATCAGAAGCCAAGACTAAAATTGATGACAGCCAAGAATTCAACAAGGTGATCAAGAAAGAAGTCTTGACTCAAATAGTTGGCATTAAAGTAATCCAGCCAAAGCAATGAAAAATCCCTTGGGTTACTCAACAGGAAGCCCCACCACTGGTCGACTTGGGAACACTGAGCTGCATTCAACATGCATTAAGTCTCAAAGAAAAAGTTCAACAGCTACAAATTCAAAAGCCAGAGCAGAATAAAATACAGCTCTTTGATTCAAAAACATTCTGTCTTGTTTTTACTCAAGAACTACACTCTTGTGTAACAAATTGTAAGTGTACCTAATATTGACAGTAAAATAAAGTCTTTACCAGTATTAGTTAACCCAAGGAATCAGTGTGTGAACTAGTATAATAACATCTTTTGCCATTTTACATTCAAAATAAACTGTCTGTCCCTGACTCTATTTTTTAGTTCTAAATATTAAGTTGATACTTGTCTATCTAAAATCTGTAATATTTGCAAAATCTGTACCCAGACTAAGCCGATTAACCCTGCGATAAGTCGACTAATCTTTAAATCAGGGCACCCACACCCCTACCCATCTCCCCCCCCCCCCCCCGTGCTTCCGGTTAAGCAACCGGGGCATCCTGAGCACACGTTTCCTGGAAATTGGAAAACTAAAGATAACTAGACATGCCAAGCAAAGGATGTGCCTATCAAACATCTGTGTTTTATTAGAGTACACCTACAAATACATACATAAATGGAGAAAATACTAAACTGGACAAAAAAAATTTACTGTCCTGCAATTTTTTTTCTCCCCAAACCACTGCACATCAGTTTATTTAGCTTAAAAAGAAAAATCTGTAATGGGGTGTAATGGGGTGCATCTAATGCTTTGGGCACTCATTTATGAATTAATTAAAGCTTTTGCACTGGCAGATCTAGCAGTATCAATAGAACCGTCAGAGATTACAACGATCACAGGATATAGGGGGCAGCATTATTTTTCATTTTGTTCAACTTTTCAGCATAAGTTCAGAACTGAGAAAACTGAAATCAGGAAAAAGCCTAAAAGACTTCAGATTGGATGACTGAAAAGATTTACAGAACAAGAGACTAAGTGAAGGAATCAGACAGGCATAATAACTTACCATGTGATCAACCGGTATGTTCAAAGCCATATTCTGATTCTCAGTTACATTTGCATGCTCATTTTTGCAGATTGGTTCAAAAAGCTCTTCATTTTTCAACTTAGCTCCCTCCACTCTGTCATTTGCTGTGTCCATTGCAGCAGCAAAGATTCTCTTATTACCCCTTGATTGTGAATGCATAGCGGAAGGCTGGGAGATATCAGGTACCTCAAAAGCCTTGAGCTTAAGATCAGAAAACCAGTCATACCTAGAAAATTCGAGACAAATTAATACATTTTGATTAAAGAGATATATGTTAAAAAATGAAATCAGACCAGCCTAAAACCTTAAGCGAAAAATGGCAGGACTTCCTATTGCTGCATGCACTTCTCCTGCAGAAACATTGGTATCTTTAGAGCTCCATCTTTTCTGCGATGTTATGTTTTCTGTATTAGTATCATAGGGGAATAGAAGGAGCACCCCTAACCCCAAACTCGTAGAACTCCATTTTGTATTAAGGTGCTTAATCACTGATGATATCTTCTTCTGAGCACTTAAAGTGAGTTCCTGGAACGGGTTGCAGCCATCCTACCAAAAATACCAAAACAATCAAAAGTTACTCCTACTACATTTTATGCAGAGCTCTTAATGCGTCAATTCATAGATATACCTTCTCCAATCTCTGTCGGGTACTTCTATTTATTGGAAAAAGCTGTAGCTTAATCTTTTTATAAGAATTAAGCTGTTGACTCCCTTCTGCGGCACCCCCTTTTGTTGCAGGGGAACACGTTGTCCTTCCTGGAAGCTTTTGACAAGACACCTTAGCAGCTTGTAAGGGCAAAGTCACATCATTTTCCCCAGCTGAAAGATTTCTACATTCCCCTGGGAAGTAGACAAGAAAAGTCACATCCTCAGTTGAGAGACAAGCCAAACACAAGTGGATTTCAATCAGAACACTCAACATACAGCAACCAAACTCCCGGATCATGCAACTAATATAAACGTAAATGAGTTGATAAAAGAAAACAACTGTCTACAGATTCATGTCAGCTGCCTGACCTGCTGCTTTCAGATTCTGTCGACCAATCCTACATGTTGCTTTCTTTGATGCTACATTCTCCTTGTCACTGTATTTTTCATGAACATCACCTGCCTTTCTCTTCATACATCGGCTCGGTTTCATGGCAGCTTAGCTCTTCTGCAAAATAAATTCAGTAGCTGAGTATTGTCATTTAATTTACTTCAGAAACATCATTCATGTCATTCAACAAATTTTTTCTCTATATTACATGTCATTATCAAATCTTTAACAACAGAAGACTTGAAAATTTCAGTTCTTATAGAAGCACAAAAATGGTTAAATCAACAACTTCTTCTTGTAAAGTTGATAACTCCCCACAATATACGGAACTGCAAAGGTAAAATGGTAAGCAATAAGTAATCAGCCTCGCAAGTGTCCCCGCCCATAGGTCTAGCAATGGTTCTTTTCATCTGGTTTTTCAAAGTCGAAACTGTAGCAACAGGTAATCAGAAGTCACAAATAGTTCCTCGAGCAACAAAAGAATTAAGAACATAGATTAGGTATGTAAGTATCTCTTCGTTGAACTTATGCACCAAACTTGCAAATGAATCATATTCTTCCAATCATTTTTTATCTCACCAGTACAAGTTATCATAAGCCAAATACTCTCTCTGCTAAAAACGGGCATGGTAATGGATAATAAAGTATCAATAAGGGTGGTGGTAGGTGGATAAAAGTGATTCACCTTGCTGAGGTTTTTGGGTTCGAGGCCTAGGTATGGACAAGCATCACTTATCCTGTTAGAAAAAGAATATGGTTCCAAATTCCATGCCAGATTTAGGGCTTTCCAAGGTGTCATAAAACGTTTGGTATCACAATTATTATAAAACATAGGATAAGGTCCAAGGCTCCAAAAGTTACATACATTTTAGTCGTGAAAATAGCACCTAGAACACTTTCAAGCCCATTAATATTTTGACTAAAGCTACTAAATTTAGAGGATGGAACTAAATCTTTAGATTTGCAAAGAGAGAACGGTCTAATGAATCTCCTGTAAAGCCAACTTCCATGAACTTCCTCCTAGGCCTTTCATGGCTCTCTGTTCAAAGACCTCTTCGACTATTCGAGCCTTATAAAGTGGTCTTTATCCTATTTGTATCCTAACAAATTATAAAGGACTTCTTAATAATGCACCTTATAGCACACTTTTTTTACAACTATAGTGTTAGCTAGTTTGCGCCTACCTCGACTAATTTCACGCGGTACCTGCTATTTCCCACTAGCACAAATACTGGGTAACTCTAACCAACAAAGCTTGGACAAACAGGAAGAAATCAACCTGTGTTTTTACCTCTGCTATTGAACCTGAGACCTCAAAAAGTACCAAACTTGTGTTTCATTTTTTTATGACGCAAAATATAGCAAAACTGAACCACATCAATGGATTGAAACAACACAAATATTCTCACACCAAATTCCAACTAAAACTCTTCCAATCCCCAAATCAGATTCAAAACCATTAGTTCAATCAAAAGGCATCAAATTTCTTCTCTTTCTGCTTAATTCTAAAGCAGAAAAAGGTACCAAACCCATGTTCCTTTTTTTAATGAAGCAAGATATAGCAAAACTGAATCACATCAATGGATTGAAACAACACAGATATCCTCAAACCAAATCCAACTGAAACTCTTCCAATCCCCAAATCCAAAACTAACTTTTCAGCTAAAGTATCAACTATGGACCACAAACATCAAATTTGTTCTCTTTCAGCTTAATTTTCTGCATCCTCTTCCAGAAAAAAGAAAAAGAACGGAGCTAGGGTTTTCTTAAACCAACAAAAAAGAAAAACCGAATGCCAAACATTTACCAATTCTCGTTTCGATTCCAATCGAACATCTTTGAATTCAAAGTTCAAATTCGATTAAAAACCAAGTACTTTTACGCTTGTTTAAGCATCAAATCAATAGAATACAAACAAATCAACAACGCAGATATTCACATAATAATTCCGACTGAAATAAATCTTTAAAAAATCCCAAAAGACTCGCAATTCAATAGATTCAAACAGCAAGCAGATTCATAAACGAAATTCAACTAAATAAAACTGATAAAAACAGAAAATTGTTCCTTACCTGGAGATACAAATAGTGGGCGGGAATGAGAAATTTTGAGAAAACCAGAACAAATTCAGCGCCTATATATTTTATTTTTGAAAAAAATATTTCCCTTTTTCTCGTACAATTATTTATATGCAGATTTAAAAAAAAAAAACTATTTCGTTTGAGCTGGGCTTAGTTTAAAGCCCATTACCATGTGGACAAAGGCCTTATACAATAGCCCGAAATGTATTGAAAAATTACATAAACAATTTATTTTATAATTATCAATTTTAAGTATACTTTTTATTTATTACTATTTTTGTCAATTTTTAGCTATATTAACTTAGAAACAATTTTAGAACTCTTTTATTTTTTTTTATACAATTTTTAAACAAAGTAAAATGTATTCGCTCAAGTCATATCCTCTCTCGCTCTTTTCTTTTTCTTTCTCCTTCTCCTCGTTTCGTCTGTTCAAAAAATTAGGATTTTTATTTTTTTTTCCATTTTTTTGCACGAATTTTTATGGAAGAAGGTCTTAGAAGAAGTCCGCGTCTAGTGAGGGATATTGATACTTCGAATCCGAAAGTTTATCGAAAAAGTCGAAAGAAGCTTCAAGTTTCGTCTTCTACTTCTATGGATGAAGTTCCAAGTTTTAGTTTGGGAATCTCACAAATATCGGGGGAGAAGAACAATGAGGAACAAAACAAGAAGCAAAAGAAAGGTAAAAAACGAGTTAAAGAGGTTAAAACAATGAAGAGATCGAAAAAAACATGTGTTACTTTGGCATCTACATCGAAGAAACTCGTTGACAGTGATGATGATTTTGAGGATTTACCTCCTCAATTTCAGTCAAAAAGTTTGAAAAATAAAGATGGATTGGAGAAGAAAAAGTCGGTGAATGATGGAAAAACACGAAATCGTTTACCCAAAAGTGTCATTTTACCAGAGAGTAGATATCCGGTATGTGCTAGTACTTCTTAGTTATTTGTTGTTTAGCAATGGTTGTATGTTGATTGCTGCTTGTTTTTTAGATGTAGTATGTGAAATTCATCTTTAATCAACTTTAATTCAACTTTAATTCAACTATAATTCATCTTTAATTCAACTTTAGTTTAACTTTAATTCATCTTTTATTCAACTGATTACTGCCTTTCTTCGACACATAGTATGTGAAATTCATCTTCATTCATCTTTAGTATGTAGTAACACATTTTTAATTCATGTTTAATGCATATGCAGGATCGTAAATTCTGGAAACATCCTGATGTTGTGTATATTTCGAGTAGGTGGTCATGTTACACTAATCATAGTGTCATTGAACAAATCAAACTATCTTTATCTGATAAACAACTTGAGTTGTTTAGGAATACATGTTTTGGGTAGTTTCTTTACCTTCCAAAATCGAGCACACAACTACAACTTATTCATTGTCTTATAAATATAGAGTTAAAACACACACCGGATGATGTGTTTGCTATTGAAATAAATAACAAAAAGTTATTTTTTGGTCTTAGAGAATTTGGGATAGTTACGAACTTAAATTGTGTTAGTGATGACACTTCTATCAATGTTCCCAATTCTAGATGTAGTTTGATGAGTAGTTATTTTCCGGAAAAAATCACAGTTCCAAAGAGTCATCTACGTGCACTGTTTTTAGCTAAAAAATTCATAGATGATGACTCAGCTGTTTCATTGGTTGTTCTATACTTCATTAATGATTTTTTATTTTCATATGAGGACAACAATACCAAATTATCAATAGAGATTTTTACCTTGTGGAAAGTGGAAAATTCAATTCATATCCGTAGGGTTTAGATGTCTACAAAAAGTTGTCTGATTCTGTGAGGCATGAGCTTAAGTCAAATATGTGTTTTTTTTGTATTAAATTGATTTTTTGATAATAATTTTATATTGAATTTTGTAGGGATTGTGGAGTTTTCGTTGCTGCATTTGCGGAGTTCGTAAGTAACGGTCAACATATTCTAAATCAACAAATAAAGGCAGACATTCTCCGAAAGAGATTTGGAGCTATATTATGGGAATATGCAAGAAGGAAGCAAGCGAGTGACCTTCAAAGTGAAGACGAAAGACCAGTTAGATAAAGGAATATAGTTATATTAGTTAGTAGGACTATGAAAACTATATAATGTAAAACAATTTGTAGTTACTATGGCTATGAAAAATTGTATTGGTCTATTTTGTAAGTCTTGATATTATATACCTAACTGTGTTGTTTATATGTAAGTCTTCTATTTGAAGTTGTTCCTTCTTTGTGTCCTTATTGATGTTATCATGATAATTGTTTCAGGATTTTCAAGTGAACAGAGCATGCTCAACACTAACCTTAAAATTTCCACAAGTGAATTAAACCTGAATTAAACTTGAATTAAATCTACATTACACAAATGGTAACAAGTGAATTAAACCTGAATTAAAGTTGTATTTATACAAATTCTAACAAGGGAATTAAACCTAAGCTAAAGTTGTATTACACAAATACTAACAAGTGAATTAAACTTTGAATGAAAGCTATATTACACAAATACTAACAAACCAAAAACATACCAAGCATAACCCAAATTTCCCAACCTGACAAATATACTCAGCAAGACATTTCCAAGCCTCAAGCTCAACTGGGTTATTCCAGTAAACTATATCATTTCATCTATATATCATATAAAATGTAACTATACACATAGAAACATTCCACTAAACTGAATAACATGAGATTGCACAACTAAAAAAGCATTCTATTAAACTGAATAACACGAGATTGTGGAACTAAAAATATAAACCATATAACCGAACATGATCCAAATTCGTACAGTCAATGAGCTTATAAAACAAACTACTAAAAGAAATTATTTTTTTATTCTTGATCATAAGGCCTGACATTTTTGCAAGTTTTCCTATTGTGATCATGTTGTCCACAATTGCTGCATGTAATTTTCGCCTTCTTGAATCCATCTTCTCTCAGTTGAGTATGTCTTTTATTTTTTGGCAGGTCTCTAACAGGCGAATTAAATTTGTATCTATTGTGATCATTCTTGCATATAAATAAGTCAGAAATTGAATTACACAAATGCTAACAAGTGAATCAAATATAAAAAGAAGTTATATTACCCAGATGCTAACAAGTGAACTAAAACTGAATTGAAGTTGAATTACACATATGCTAACAAGTGAATTAAACCTGAATTAAAGTTGTATTACACAGATGCTAACAAGTGAACTAAACCTAAATTGAAGTTGAATTACACAGATGCTGACAAGTGAATTACACATTAATTAAAGTTGTATTATACAGATGCTAACAAGTGAATTAAATCGGAATTAAAGCTGTATTACACAGATGCTAACAAGTGAACTAAAATTGAATTGAAGTTGTATTACACAGATGCTAACAAGTGAATTACACATTAATTAAAGTTGTATTACACATATGCTAACAAGTGAACTACACATTAATTAAAGTTGTATTACACAGATGCTAACAAGTGAACTAAAACTGAATTGAAGTTGTATTACACAAATGCTAGCAAGTATATTAAACCTGAATTAAATTGTATTACACAAATGCTAACAAGTGAATTAAACCTGAATTAAAGCTGTATTACACGGATGCTAACAAGTGAACTAAAACTGAATTGAAGTT